TTTTTTTTTTTTTTTCAATTTTTTCCTACACTTAATTTTAGCTTTTTTTTAACTGTTTGCCGGCTGCAAATTCCTTTCCAGCTGCATTCCACACCCAAACTAAATTTATCTTTTACTAACTGGTTCGTTTATTTATATTTATAGATAAATACATAGGCAGACCTTGCGAGCGTCTATACTATAACGCTCCATGTCGCGTATCTCTTAAGCTCTGTGTACGTATTTGCTTCCTTTACGACAATGCCATAATTGCTATTTGATTTAAATGCTAATTAGCAGCAGCGAGAGCAGCCAATAAAAATCTTAAGAATTCGCAATTTTTAATTCATTTTAATGGGATTGATCCTAAATAAATACAGAGTGTAATAAACACTTAGGAAACTTTTAATTCGCATGCATTTGTGTGAGTGTGTGTGTGTGTCATTCTCTCATAGAAACATAGAATACAACTTAAGTCAATCTTTTTATATGCATTTAGATATTAAAACGTTATACTTGAATGCGCTTTTGTGTACATATATAAATATATTTCAACTACTTCAGAAAGTGAAGAGTATATTAGTTGCTAAATAATTTTTATGTTTCTGATATAAGTAAAAATAATTTTAAACATTATATCGACTTCTCTTCTTCTTGTCTTCTCGACTTGTCTTCTTCTTCAATTCGTTTGTGTGTCACGCCTCGAATGTTTATTTATATTTTGTAATAGTTCTGTTCCAAATGTGTTTTCTCTCTCTCTCTCTGTCTCTCTCTCTCTCTCTCTCTCTCTGCTATTATATATATTTCTCATGTTGCATTTGTTGTCTTGAGAATTATGTAAAATGTGAACAAACTAGACACAAAGGCAGGTGGCTGAATCGTTTAACTTAAATATTGTCACCTGCTTCTACTGCTAGTTGGGAAAAAGAGTTTCATTAAAATGCCAAATTAACTATTTTTTGCTGGCATGCAGCTGATGAAATTCCCAGACAAGTCCTGGCTTAAGGCCATGGCTGCAGCTTTTAGTTAAACGGCTTTTAAAATGCAAAAGCTCAAAAACTTTATATACACATACAGTAAAACATGCATATGTATATCAAAAGATATGTATAAAAATACTTTTTGTTGTCGTTGTAGATGTTGTTGTTGTTGTTGTAGTTGTCATACAACGGAAGGGGCCACGAGTCTCTCGGCAAAGTTTCGACAGCATTTTTTTTTCTTCTCATTTTATTTTTGCAACAAACTAAAAATAGCAAAGCAACAACAACAACAACAACAAAGTCAGCGTTGATTGCAAGTTGTTTGGTTTTGCTTTTATGCTCGGAGCGAAGACGACGACGACGACGACGACATCGTTGGTGTGGTCCAATAATGAAAAAGAAAAACCGGCTTGACAGGAAAACACAATTTTCGTTTGAATAAGGAAAAAATGCATAACATTTTTTTGCAGCTCCACGTTGACGTCGAGTCTCTGATGCTGACTCTGCCGCCAGCGACACCCGCTGGCTGACTGTGTGGCTGTCTATTAATCTGTACAAAGCATTTGCGTAGTCAAATACCCTGCATAATGGTGGACAGCATGGGTATCATGAGTCCACTGCGGAAATGTAGGGTAAATATCATTAGCTTCATTAATATTTATTTAAAATAAAATATATTATTAGTCAGTCAATCAGTCAATATAGTCAGTCAATCCCAGTCAATCATTTAGAGAATCAATCAGAGAGATAATCAAACAGACAGTAAAAAATCTGTCAATTAGAGAGTAATTCAATCAGTCATAAAGCCAGTCAATCAGAAAGCAATTGAATCAGTTGGGGAGCCTAATTTTTATTATCAATCAATGAGCTACTCAGTCCATCAATCAAACAGATGTGTATTAGCCAATAAGTAAGCTGACAATCAAACAATCTGTTGTTCAATCAATGATCAGTTAGCTTCATGGCAAAACAGTCAATCAATAGTTCACGACATCAGTCATTAAGTCAGTTATTGAGCTATTCAAGCCATCAAACAAGCTTAAATCTTCTACTTAATGCAACTCTTGGGAAATAAGTCAATCAATCATCAATCAATGTCAATAT